ACAAGAAGTTGGAATTAAACCATTCCCATAATCAAGATAAATTATATTTAATCTTGTGCTATAATCATTCTGATGATTTGTCCAATTTCATCATTAGATTGTGAACATTAACTTTTATGTATTACAAGAACCGATGATTTAATCTTCCGTGTATAAGCTAAACTCTATACACTAAATCATCTACTATGTAAGCAATGGACACACAAACCAACACATGATCTATTTAAAATGAAACTTTATTGAATTTAAACAAGTAAATAAAGAATTGTTCATAAAGAATACTATAACAATATGCATGGCTTATATTATATTCTAACAATTTGAAGTATTAAAATGTATACATATATAAATACAGCGAGCTATTGAAAATACTGTAAGTTCCAACACAAAGGATCACATCAATAAATGAATTTAAATAATTAAAAACACTTGAACTGATAGCAACAAATAAACACAACAGCAGAAAGTGCACGGCATCACCCTTTGTGCTTTAACTCTCAATCCTCACCATGCAATCAATAATAGAAATGTGCACGGCAACACCCTTCATGCTTTATAACTCTTCCTCATCATATGAATCATATAAATATGCACGACATCACCCTTCATGCCTTATCACTCTTCCTCACCATATGAATAGTATAAATGTGCACGGTATCACCCTTCGTGCTTTATCACTCTTCCTCACCATATGAATAGTATAAATGTGCACGACATCACCCTTCGTGCTTTATCACTCTTCCTCACCATATGAATAGTATAAATGTGCACGACATCACCCTTCGTGCTTTATCACTCTTTCCTCACCCAAACAATAAAAATAAGAACATCCCGACAAGGGAATCAACAATAGAAACAAATACATTCCGGCAAGGGAATCAACAATAGAAACAATACATCCCGGCAAGGGAATCAACAATAGAAACAAATACATCCCGGCAAGGGAATCAACAATAGAAACAAATACATCCCGGCAAGGGAATCAACAATAACCAATCTCGTTTTAACAATTAACTTCACAAGATAAATCTCAACTTGAGTCAATACTCAACAACGGTCTAATACCAAGGAAATACTATAAGCCTGGTCCAACATGAATACTCATCAAATCAAGCATGAATAGTACATAATAAGGATCACGGAAAAACCATGAAGCACACTAACCTTAACAAAATAACAAGACATAATAAGCACGTGATAACTACACCGGTAACCACAACAATTGGACATGTAACACATTTGCACGAAGTCATAGAGGGACTCACAATTAAGAAGTATCAAAACAATAAGGAAGGCAATCACTTTAATTAATGCAATTAGGGGTCCAGTGACACGTAGGAATTATAGGAAAGCTAGCAACATCATATGGAGCATATAGAGGTAATTTAAGCAATTAGGAAACTCAATCATAACGGAATACTTTGCACATAATTAACATAAGGACCTAAGAACTCTAGAGGCAAATTTCCCACAAATAAGTCCGAGCACACACTCGTCACCTCGTGTGCACGAGCTACAATTAGCATAGAAGACTCAAATCCTAAGGGGAAGTCCCCCACACAAGGTTAGGCAAGATACTTACCTCAAAGACGACAAACCGATACTTTAAAATGCACTTCTTGGGTGAAAAGACCGCCGGACGGCTCAAATCTAACCAAATTAACTTCAAAGCACAAATAAAACACGTAAGAAACTATTCTGGATCATAAAGTCTCAATCTTTAACAAAATTCAAAAATTGGTCCAAAAGTCGACCCCCGAGCCCGTGCCTCGGAACCCGATAAATTTTACAAAAACCGAATACCCATTCCAATATGAGTTCAACTAGGGGTGTTCATGGTTCGGTTTGGATCGGTTTTTCCCTAAAAAGAAACCAAACCAAGTAAGTCGGTTTTTCAAATATTAAAACCAAACCACACTAATTAAGTCGGTTGTTTCTCGATTCGGTTTATGTTAGTTTTTCAATTTTTTTGGTTATTTGTGGGTTTTTTCTTAAATATAAGACATACACTACCAAACACATATTTCAGCGACTACATTTTTAACGTAACACTATCAAATCAATTGCCCTTTGAGAAATCTGTTATTTACCAAAATATATTGATGATAATTGAATCAAATAGTGATGAATAATTTAAGGATTCAATTTAAAATATATTATTTTTAACATGAAATAGATTCTTACACTTAACAAAAGAAAACTGCCAATCAAACTAGAATGTAAAAGTAAAGAACTGTACTAAAAGCGCAAACGATTAACATTTACTATAAAAAATTTAAAACTTTGTATAAAAGTATATATATATATATATATATATATATATAGAGAGAGAGAGAGAGAGAGAGGTGTAATAATAAATTTAAAATAGCTACTCCTATATTCGGTTTGGTTCGATTTTGTTTATTAGAACCAAAATCAAACCAATTTGATCGGTATTTAAATTTCAAAACCAAACCAAAAAATATCGGGTTTTTTAGTTGGTTTGGTTTGGTTCGGTTTTTCGAATTTTTATGAACACCCCTAAGTTCAACCATACAAAATTTATTAAATTCCGATACCATTTGGCCCCTCAAATCATGATTTTTTCATTTTAGGAATTTTCTTCAAAAATCAACATTTTCCTCAACCCAAATCACAAATTAAATAATAAAAATGAAGGCAAATTCATGGAATATAATTAATTCTAGGTGAAGAAAACTTAACCAATAGTTTTACTTGAATAACCCACAAGGAATCGCCCAAAATCGAGTTCTAGAACTCCAAAAATGGTGAAAATGGCAAACCCTCGGAAT